GATGATGATGTGTTGTTTTTTAAATGAATGGCTACCCAGTAATTACCACACTGCCAACCTCATGCAAAAGCATTCCCAGAATAAGTGCTCTTTTGCTCTTTGCTATTCTGTTGTCACCTGTAAAAGTGCTGAAAATGCTGCTCATTCTTTGAGCATTTTATATCCTTGGGTAAAGGGATACACAGTAAGTTCATAAAGATGCAATTCCAAACACCAGCCTCATGCTGATACTGGAGAGCTGACATTTTCAAATAGTGGAGCATCCCAATGCCTCCTAAAATCCTACATAAATAGGTAAAGCTGTTATGCCTCAAAGTGAACACACATTTCACTCCCAGTCCCTCTGCTTAGCCTTACAACCACCATTTCCCTCTTCCCTTTATCCTTCCCCTAAATCCAGCTTTTACCTGGTTTCTAAATCATAATTCTAATAGAGAGCTTGCCCAACTCTCCTGGAGGTGAAATCTCTGTGATCAGAATCACTTTCTAGAGACTAACTGAAGCCCAGTTTGCAAATGTGAAGAGGAAAAGGCAGGCTTATGGGAAGGATGCAGGGCACAGAGGTAGAAATAGCAGGAAATCAATTGCTAAATCAAAGTATTATTAAAAATAGCAACAACTCTGCCTCTTGGAGTCCCTTTTTATCCTACCAGGAGTGAGTCTCTGCCTGATGATATAGCTTTCCACCTTGGGAAGAAGAAGAGCTGAAGAGGGCCTACATCGTCTGCCAAGAGTGAGAGCACTGGAGGGGTTTGAGGAGAGCCTGTCACGGACATGAACATGAGACATTACCCTGGATTTGGGTGTGGGTGGCCCTGGCCCAATGGGGGAGGAAGGGAAAGGGGCATGGACCCTCATTTATTTGATTTTTAAATGTTTAAATTTTGTAGGCCCAAGTGAAGTATAATGTCTTATTAAATGAAGATTTAGAATTATGGGTAGAGAAAAGATGCATAATTGTTTATTGTCCAATCAGTACACAGGCAGATTCTTTGTGGTGTGCAGGCACTATCTCTTCCTGTTAAACCTAGGAACCATTTCTTCATTCTTGGATAATTTTGTATCTCTCGCCACAAGAAAAAGGCAGCACTTTAAAAAAAAAAAATAGTTACATTGTTGATAATGGCCACAAATGCAAGTCTTACTTACTTGTTCCATTAGTTTGCTGGAACAAAATACCATAGACCAATCATCTTATACACAACAGAAATTTATATCTCATAGTTTCGGAAGCTAGGAGTCCAAGACCAGGGTGTGAGCATGATCAGAGAGGGCCCTCTTTTGGGTGGAAGATCTTCATATAATTCTCAGATGGCAGAAGAGACTAAAGAGCTCTGAGGGTTTAAATTTTAGGTTTAAATTTTACTTAAAGTATGGTTTCATTAGTCAAGTCATTAATATCTCTGTGCCTCAGGGTCCTTATCTTAGAATGAGCTAATAAAATCTATCTCAGAGAGTGCTGTGAAAATTAAAATCAATGTTAAAAAAAAAGCTTGGCACAAGTAAGTACACAACAAATATTGGCCAATACCCTTTACTTTCTTTGCTTCACCATTACAACCTCTGTATGTCTCTATAAAATAAACTTACTGGTAGTCACTATGTCCTTTTCCTTCCTTATAAAACCTCTCTCAACTTTTTTAAAAAAATTTTTCTTTATTGAATAAGGTATTACATATGTGTCCTTATTCTCCCATTGCCCCCCCCCCCCATGCCCTCTCCCCCCTGGTGTCTTGTCCATTACTTATGCTTATATGCATGTATACAGATCTTTTGGTTGATCTCTCCTCCTTACCCCCACCCTCCCCTACTTTCCCTCTGAGTTTTTTTTAAAACATATTTTATTGACTTTTTACAGAGAGGAAGGGAGAGGGATAGAAAGTTAGAAACATCGATGAGAGAGGAACATCGATCAGCTGCCTCCTGCACACCCCCACTGGGGATGTGCCTGCAACCAAGGTACATGCCCTTGACCGGAATTGAACCCGGGATCCTTGAGTCCACAGGCCAACGTTCTATCCATTGAGCCAAACCGGTTTCAGCTCCCTCTGAAGTTTGATGGTCTGATCAGTGCTTCTCTGTCTCCGGATCTGGTTTTTTTTGTTTTTTTTTTTTGTTTGTTTTTGTGTGTTTTTGTGTGTGTGTGTGTGTGTGTGTGTGTGTGTGTGTATTGGGGGTGGGGGGGTTGTTGTTTTTTAAATTAATTTATTTATTTTAATAAATCTTTATTGCTCAGATTATTACAATTGTTTCTCCTTCCCCCCTCCCTTCCACCAGGTTCCCGCCACACCCTCTGCCCTTACTATCTCCCCCTCGCCATTGTCCTCATCCATAGGTTATATGATTTTAATCCAGTCTTTTTCTGCACCCCCACATCCCTTTCCCCCTGATAATTATCAATCCACTCCCTTTCTTTGCCCCTGATTCTATTATATTCACCAGTTTATTTTGGTCTTCAGATTTTGTTGTTGTTGTTGTTTTTGTTGCCAATGAAAAAACTAAACCACATACATGTTATTTTCAAAACTTGAATGTCAAGAGCAAAACTCTGGCTATTAAATAATAACAACAATGCCAATGCAAAACAACAAAATGAGAAATCAGAATTATGGACATATTAATATTTTTAGCTACTAAATGAGTCTCTTTTGTTGCTGGTGTAGAGTTACTCAGAGTCCTTGGACTTGCTGCACAAGACTTTGCAGAAGACTGGAAGCTAACAGATGCTGGCTTGTGCAGGAACATGATTAAAGAAGTAGCTTCCACTTCAGTCTTTAATTTCTTCAGATGACTCCATGTTGTCACCTCAGTCCCTTGCGTAGCCTTCAGTTTTCTTCTCCCACTTTGCTGTTGTCTGGGCAGCTCTCAGACCTTTTGGGTGAAAGGACATAGGAGCTTCTCTGAGTACATTGTGATGACAGACATAACATTCTGGTACCCGAATTGGCTGCATTGCTCCTTCTTTCCTTTCATTTTGAACCCAGGGTTAGACCCCACAACACTCCGGGCCTGGCTGCTTCAGGCCTGGATGCTGCTCTGGGCCTGGCTGCTGCTGCTCTGGGCCTGACAGCTGCTGCTCCAAGCCTGGCTGCTCCAGGCCTGGGTGCTCTGGGCTTAGATGCTGCTGCTCCAGGCCTGGCTGCTCAGGGCCTGCCACTCCACTTCTCCAGCTGGTCACATTTCAAGAGCCCCATCGGTCTCTCACTGCCCTCATTATCATGTTAATTGTTGACTATTAACTACCCAGAACCTCCTTCCCGTGGTTTTGGACGATAGATGTCCCTCATATCAGTTTCAACTTTTAAATTGTTGTAGGAGCGGCATACCAGCCGCTCACTTACACTGCCATCTTGGTTTCTCCTCCCTGAGGGATCTTTTTTATTAAAGTACTAATCCCGTTAATGAAGACTCCATGACATAATCCCCTCCCAAAGGCCTCACTTCTTAACACTGTCACATTGGGCTTTAGGATTCTAACATGAATTGGGGACAGGGGAACACACATTTAGACCATAGCACCTGGAGTATGCAGGAGAATGAGAATAATAATTCATTTTCTGGTCATGTGGAATTTGCCTTTCGGAATTATACAGTGTAAACACAAAACAACACATCTTCTAATTATATCTGCTCTTGAACTCTTTAGGCCATGATCACTGCACTCCTAGGATGTGACCTCTTTCGTAACCGACCACACCACATCCACACATTGCCACCAGCCAGAAGGACAGGCCAGGGGCCCCTGGGCAGAGTGAAAGAACAGTCCTGTTTATGCAAGTAATGGCTATCTTTCATCTCGCACAGATTACGACCAACTCGGAAAAAGTATACCACCACCCATCAATCAGAGCCAAGAGAGGACATTGATTGGAAGTGCCCCATTGGCATTGCAAAACAATGGTCTCACAAGTTCTTGCAGGAGACAGGAGCAGCCTCCCACACTTCTATGTGGTGTGGAGCCTGAAAATGGTGTAGTAACCACTCTGGTGCCAGCAGTGGGGGATTCAAAGGAAAAGAAACGTGTACTGCTACCCCAGCCACCGTCAAGTGCTGTAGAACAGGAGTAGTGCTTGGATGGCTGAAAGCATCCAATACAAGTGCTCAAGTCCAAAGACCAGTAGTGACCATTGGTCACCCAGAGTCCCAAATTATCCTATGTACAGGATGTGTTTGAGTCATCCAAAATCAACATGTCAGCACCATTCTGGTGACCTGCTATCATGTGATCCCACAAAAGAAATACCACACCAGCTAGAAGGAGCCATCCACTTGCCAGGCCACCTTCCTGGAACTGGAGTCTGGCTTCAGGGGCCTACGATGACCCCCTGGGCACAAGTTTCAGAACTCTTTGGAGGCAGCTAATTGAAAGAAATGAGACTCAGGGCAACAGATGTCAGTCCAAGCTCAGGGTACCTCACCTAGATGTCACTGTTTGTTCCAGACACCAGAGGGCGACTTTCTATGTGAGGTGGGAGGAGAAGAAAGAAGAGTGCATGTCAGAGAATATTAGCCATGTTAGGAATTTGTCCAGTTCCTAGGGTTGGTAATAAAATGTGAAAGGGTCTCAAGTTTGACTTCTTCTTAACCAAAAGCTACACAATTCGTTGTATGGTGAATTAGTAAGTCACTAGAATGAGTTCTGTCTTGGTCTGCAAGACCATAACACCTTACCAGCAGACCCCTAAATTCCTAAGTATAAGCCCTATTCAGACCCCGTTCCCTCTACTTGGGGTGGTAAACACACAATGCAGTGGCAGATGATGTATTGTGGAATTGTGCAACTGAACCTGGATAAGTTTGTTAACCAGTGTTACAAAAAAAAAAAAAAAAAAAAAAAAAAAAAAAAAAAAAAAAAAAAAAAAACAACAAAAAAAAAAAAAAAAAAAAAAAAAAAAAAAAAAGGAAAGAAAAACACCCATTCCACATAGTTCTCCAGATTCAGTCAGAGATGCAATTACTTTAGTTTGCATCTGCAGCGGAGAAGTGCTGTGTGGAAAATCCAGGTTTCTCACTCTAGAGACTCAGGGTGGGTAGCAGGAAAAGGCATGGATAAGGGATGCATTAAACTCTTGTAGTCCATACCCAAAGGCAAACAGACTAATGACCAGGACCACAGGAATACATTTATTTCTTCACCAATCTCTTTCCAGGGCAGGAGTTAGGATGAGAGGAAGATCTAGATATCATTAACCTATAATACTCTGCCACTGTGGATCCCAGGAACACAATACAAGCAATGTGAACCCTGGGGCAAAGAAGAACTGTGTTTTTATGAGGAAATTATTTTTTAAAATAGGCCAGCCTTGTTTCCCAGAACCTTTATGTATTTTTTTTTTTACCAGAAACCAAAATTTTTATTGAATTTTGGTGTAGCTGGTATTTATGACACAAACTAGACCACCACAGATTTTAACATTCCACCTGCTATTTTTGCACATTTGGAAATTTTCTATATCTGCAGGCTCTCAGAACCTTTATTGCAGAATACCTAAGAGGGAGAAAATAGCTGGAGAAAGAGGAAGTGGAAAGAGAAAGAGGGGAAGGTGAAAAAAAAGAAGAAAGTAAGTTGCTTCATTATTTAGGTATTACCTGGACCTTCATGTCATTACAGGATATAATGATGAACTTTTCAAAAATGAATGTTAGGTAATTGCAGTGAGGAGTGACTTGGCCTGGTTTGGATAGCCTGCAAAATGTCAAATCAAAAGGACGGGAGCTTTTGTGACATTTGCCTCCCTGGAGCTCGCAGGCAATGAGAGGACCCTTACAGACAGCTTTGACTGTATCTAGCTCCTCATGGATGAATGTGTATTGGGTGATGCATGTGTGGTTGTGCTCCTTCATCTTGTGTGCCATCATGGTATTGCATTCCCGGGCCATCAGGTCAAGCCTGGGATAGTCTTTGTTACTCTGAGAAGGAGCCTCAGCTCTGAGCATCTTGTTTCCTCCAACTTCATCTTCACTGACGATGGTCTCTTCAGGCCAGCCAGGTAGTACCACTCCTTTGTTGCTAAGCAGCAGGGTTTCTGTTGTCCGGGTGCCCTCTCCCTCCTTCATGGCTCCAGCCTTGTCCTCTGAATCACTGGACCACAATTCATTCAGGGAGTGATCACTATCCTCCAGGACCGATGCAGCCATCCGAAGGCCCAAACCCAGGCCCATCCCAAGGCCCAGCAGCAGCAGCAACATCATAAAAAAGATTTGCATCAGAGGCAGCTTCATTTTTCCTGTGGGGAAAAGGAAGGACTGACCTTGAGATGAAGCTTGGCTCCACTAAAGACCCTAGGCTCCTTAAACCCTGACAGCAAAGCCTTTGGCATCTCCTCTCCCTTCCCCTACATTACCCCATACCCCTCAAGTCACTTCCTGTCCCTCCACACCACATTCCCTGTTGTTGTGTAATGATTTGTGGATCCTACAGAACAGGAAGAAGCAGGGGATGTGGTTCTAAAATTGGTTCATCTGTGGGGCAGCAGTAGAGGGAAGTTGACTCTCAACAGAAATTAGTTCCAAGTAATCCAAGAGACTGGTTGAGAAGACAAACAACTACAGTATCACACTTTATTTGAAAAAAATTATTATAGATTAGAGGTCCGGTGCACAAAAATTCATGCACTGGAGGGGTCCCTCCGCACAGCCTGCGCCCTCTTATAGTCCAAGAGCCCTCAGGGGATGTCCACAGGCCAGCTTAGGCCTACTCCCCAGGGGATTGGGCCTAAGCTGGCAGTCAGACATCCCTCTGGCAGCCTGGGAGCCCTCGGAGGATGTCCACCTGCCAGTTTAGGCCCGCTCCCGGTGGATCAATGATTCTCTCTCATCATTGATGTTTCTATCCCTCTCTCCCTCTTCCTTTCTCTCTGAAATCAATAAAAAATATATATATTTTTAAAAAACCACAAATTTTTTTTTTTAAAGGCCTTCTCTAAAAGAAAAAAAAATTGCTATAATCTGTTGAGTAGGCAGGAATATTGTATCAATGCTTGATATACTGAATTTGTAAAATCGTACTATCATTATTTAAGAGAATCATTGTTCTTAGGAAATGAACCCCAAAATATTAAAGTGCAAAGGGACATGGTGTATGCAAACTATTCTCAAACCTCATGTGGTTCAAAATATAGGTTATATGTATATGTGTACATGGGTTTAGAGAGAAAAAAAATTATTTTTAAAAAAGTGTAAAAAGTTTTTTTTAAAATAATGTATCTGGGATAGAGGATATTCAAGATTCCTTGTATCATTGCTGTAATTTTTCTTTAACATTGAAAATGTTTCATTTTTTTAATTTTTAAAAGAGAAAGTACAGTCTATGTTGTTCCCTGGGGCACCCAACACCACTGTGGCTTACCGGCACACTTACGTAGCTTCCAAAATTGTTTCCTCTTCTTTAACAAGTTCTTCTCTCCCAGGGTTGCCTTCCCTCTGAGAAGTGCATTTGATGTTGGGCTTCAGAAAAATGATGACCGATTGTGGTCCACATGCTCTTAAACCCAGACTGATTCCTAAGCCTACTCCCCTCCCACTTCCCCCACTCAGCGAAAACACACTAAGCCAATTCTCCTTTCTGCTCCCGCAAGCACTTTGAAGTAAGGCTATTTTGGCATTGAGACAGACCCAGACATCCAAGACAGGAAATGTCTTGAGCCTTGGAAACTGCAGTTTAATTTCGTCAATAAATTGTTCCATTCCTGAATTACACCCACTCTACCGTGGTTTATAGCACCGAGATCTTGCCCATGGGTTTTAAACCAAGTCATTTCCTTACATTCTCCGTATGTACTTCCTTTAATCATTTCCCGTCACTTTTGGAATGTCAGGGTCTTTGGCCTTTATTTGGGTCATCTAACCAAAATGGCTATTTTGCTTTTCACATTTTTGAACATTTGAACATTTGGAGTATATGAGTCAATCATAAGTTTTTTTCATATCTTTCCTATGAATCCTTTCTCAGCTTTCCACTCTCCACTACTCTGCCAATTTCCTATATGAATATCTAGATTTTTTCAATTCTGACAATTTAGCCCTAGAAAAGAGAATATCCAAAGCTGCACCATCACTATCAGTCCCTATAATCTGAATGAGTAAAACTAGGAAGTTTACAATGCTTATTCCAATAACTTTTTTAACTAAAAGTGACATCATGAGTTAATATTTTTAAAAGCACTTTGGAAGTTAATAAAGCACCATACGAACCCTCTCAAAGACATAAGCAAGCCCCTTGATGAAGAATGTTTTATTTTGTCATTCAAGCTAGAGTTTTCTGTCATCTGCAAAGTCTACCAAGTTGGTCTTTTGCAGTGCTGATAGGTCCCCTCCATTCAGTTCCCACCCCACCCTCTGCCCTTACCCTTCCCCACCCTCCATTGTCCTCATCAATAGGTGTACAATTTTTGTCCAGTATCTTCCTGCACCCCCCACACCCTTTTCCCTCCCACAATTGTCAGTCCACTCCCTTTCTATGCCCTTTATTCTATTATATTCACCAGTTTATTCTGTTAATCAGATATTTTATTCACTTGATTTTTAGATTCACTTGTTGATAGATACGTATTTATTGTTCATAATTTTTATCTTTTCATTTTTCTTCTTCCTCTTCTAAAAGAATACCTTTCAGCATTTCAAAAATAATGGTTTGGTGATAATGAAGTCCTTTAGGTTTTTTGTTTTGTTTTGTTTTGTTTTGTTTTGTTTTGTTTTGTTTTTTAATCTGTGAAGCTCTTTATCTGACCTTCAATTCTAAAGTTTTGCTGGGTAGAGTAATCTTGGTTGTAGGTTTTTGCTATTCATCACTTTGAATATTTCTTGCTACTCTTTTCCGGCCTGCATAGTTTCTGTTGAGAAATCAGCTGTCAGTCATATGGGAAGTCCTTTATGGGTAACTAACTGTTTTGTTCTTGCTACTTTTAAGATTCTCTTTGTCTTTTGTCCTTGGCATTTTAATTATGATGTGTCTTGGTGTGGTCCTCTTTGGATTCCTCTTATTTGAGGTTCTCTGTGCTTCCTGGACTTGTAAGTCTATTTCTTTTACCAGGTGGGTGAAGTTTTCTGTCATTATTTCTTCAAGTAGGTTTTCAATATCTTGCTCTCTCCCCCATAATTTGGATGTTGGTACACTTGAAGTTGTCCCAAAGGCTTCTTATAATATCTGCATATTTTTGGATTCTTTTTGCTTTTCCAATTGGGTGTTTCTTTGCTTCTTTGTATTTTATTTTATTTTATTTTTTAATATATTTTATTGATTTTTCACAGAGAGGAAGAGAGAGGGATAGAGAGTTAGAAACATCGATGAGAGAGAGTCATCGACCAGCTGCCTCTTGCACACCCCCTACTGGTGATGTGCCCGCAACCAAGGTACATGCCCTTGACCGGAATCGAACCCGGGACCTTTCAGTCCGCAAGCCAACACTCTATCCACTGAGCCAAACCGGTGCCAGCTGCTTCTTCGTATTTTAAATCTTTGACTTGATTCTTGCAATCCTCTAGTCTGCTGTTGGATCTCTGTATTTATTCTTTATTTCAGTCAGTGTATGCTTAATTTCTAGTTGGTCCTATTTTATATCCTCAAGGGTCTCACTAAATTTATCAGCAGCTTCTAGAAAATTCTTGAAAAACCTTATAACCATGGTTTTGAACTCTATATTCAGTAGTTTGCTTTCCTCTATTTCCTCATTTGTGACTTATTTCATTGTCTCCACATTTGGCTGCTTCCCTGTGTTGATAGAGTGGCTTTGTGTGCTAAGTATCCTATAGGGCCCAGTGGCTCAGTCTCCCTAATTACCTGAGGTGGACACTCTTGGTGCACCCCTTTGTGGGTTGTGTGCACAATCTTGTTGTAGTTAAGCCTTGATTGTTATTGATATCACTGGGAGGAGTTGACCTCCAGGCCAATTGGCTGTGAGGATCAGCTGTGTCTACAATGGGAGAACTGCTGTGCTGGAGACACCCTTATGGGGAAAGACTTGCTTCAGTGGGGCTTTGGTGCTCTCTGAGTCTACCGCCTGAGTGTGTCCCTTATGGATCTGAGGAGGTACAAATTTAGCCTCTGCCTAAGGCCACCCAGCAGGAGCTATGGAGAGATCTTCAGATTCCTCTTCTTTGTTTGGTGTTTGGAGGTGCCCAGATGAGGTCCAGCTGTGAAGCAATGCAAGCTGCTATGGGACCTTGGGCCTTCTTTTGGCAGCTATGGGGCTCTCTTACCCAGCTGCAGTTTGTTAGGTAATTTTAGATTACAAAGGGCCAGGCTATTCATATGCAAAGCCTCTGTGCACAGCTTGGATGGGGTGGGGTCTCAGGGCATAGTAAACAGCTATGGCTGATCTTCAGCCCTGCCCTAAGAGGTCCCGGGTCTCAGTGTTCCCCAGTAATTGCTGCAAGTACCTCTGAGAAAAAGCCTCCCTTGAGTTCTGCCCAAAGACAGACAGTCCAGTTTCTCCCCATATAAGTCTGGTTCCCCAGAGTCTCACCTGGAACTGGAGTTCAGAGCAGTCGGGAGTTTGTGTTTCCCTCCTGATTCTCAGTTGCCCACCTCCATATCTTTTTACTTTACTTCCGCACCTCCTCTGAGTCACAGTGTGCTTTTCTCTTTCTTTTTAGTTGTAGAATTTCCACTCAGTCATCCTTCCTGTGGTTCTGAATGATATCCGTTTTGTCTTTTAGTTGTAGTTTTGAAGTGGTTTTGTAAGGTAGCAATTTCAAGTGTTTATCTATGCCACTATCTTGGTTTCTCTCCTGAAAGGTATTCTTTAAGAAGAGGAAGAAGAAGAAAAAGGTAAAGATAAAAAAATTATGAAAAACAGTGATAACAAATACATATCTATCAACAAATGAATTTAAAAATCAAATGAATAAAAAATCTGATGAACAGAATAAACTGGTGAATGTAACAGAATCAGGGACATGGAAAGGGAGCAGACTGACAATTGTGGGGCGGGTGTGGTTTGGGGAGTATGGAAAGAGATTGGGCAAAGATCTTACACCTATGAATGAGGACAGTGATGGGAGGGTGTGGGCCTGGAACTGGGTGGAGGGGAGCTATTGGGGGGGGGGGGTAGAAAGAGGCACATCTGTAATAATCTGAACAATATATTTTTTAAATCCCATCTTGCTAGTGATGCTTCCTTATAATGTTACATAGTGTGATTCTTCTTGCAGAAATAATTCTGAAGATTATGCTCCATTCAAGCATGGCTAGCCAAGTGGAGTCTGAAACCTAACCCATGCTCTGCTCAGCAAATTATACAAACTGACCCAGAGTTGACTTCACCCTGAGGAGTTTTTCTTCCAATCCACACAAAAAATGTTGTTTTGGTTTTCTAGGAAGCTAAATACATGGCTTTACATTTTACTTCATTTTTACATAAATGACCTCATATAACCTCACAACACCTCCACACACACACACACAAAAGCTAGAATTATTTCTCCTGTTTTACCATAAAAGTTACTTGCCTAAGGCAGAATAAGAACAGAACCCTGATCCATTAACTCCCACCCATTGTTCCTTCTCTTACATCCTGGCCTTGCCCTTGATAGCATGCTCAGTTTAGGTCATTTCCTCATGGATCTAGAGAACAGTTGGTTACAATCAATGCCCAAAACTATCTTGCATATCTAAGATGGATATTTTCAGTTATTATTAGGAATCATAAAAATTCACTTTGTGAAATGAATTCACACAAACCTGCTACAATCCACAGAACCCAACCTTTCCAACCTCTGCCAGATCTTTCAGTTATAATTCTCTTATCCCATCTCTAACCACTGCAGTTCCCATGATTTGGGCTCTCACTTGTTCAGGCCCTGCATAGTCCCAAGTCTATCTGATAGATCAGCAGTTCTCATCCTGTGGGTTGCGACCCCTTTGGGGTTGAACAACCCTTTCACAGGGGTCGCCTAAGACCATCGGAAAACACAGATATTTACATAATGATTTATAACATAGCAAAATTACAGTTATGAAGTAGCAACAAAAATAATTTTATGGTTGGGGGTCACCACAACATGAGGAACTGTATTAAAGGGTTGAGGCATTAGGAAGGTTGAGAGCCACCGTGTTATTAATAGATGATCTTCTGGGGGAGTTATCACACTATGTCTTGTTCTTTCTGAGTGATTCTGGCAGCTTCTGTAAAGTTGGAGGAGTTTTAGCAATAGCATACGATCAATAAAGCAGACCACAACCATCCCACACTTCAGAACAAAGTTTACAGGAAGAACTACCCAAAATCATAGCTAACTTATGAATTCCTTTGCCAAGTTCTCTGTCTTCTCACAGCCTACACCTATGCTAGGAAAGTTGGATTTCTTGCTCTATAAAAGTCCTGTTTATCCATTTTTATGAATCAGTATGACATTCACTGATTTCTTTGAAATAGGCTTAATAATAATCTTTAGAGACATTTTATCTAAAAATATTTTTGAAATGGCTTTATTAGCTGGTTTGGAACTGGGAAAATGACCCTCAGGTCTAGCTTCCCACCACTAAGAAAGCCTAACTTGTGAGACAGGTGCTGGTGAGAGGGAAAGTGGTTTATTCAAGTGTCCACAACTTGAGAAGATGGGGAATGGGAACAGGGGGTTGGACCTCCTGTGTCTCAAAAACCCATCTTAATATCTCTGGTTTAAAAAAAATCTGCCGAAATCAGTTTGGCTCAGTAGATAGAGCTTCTGCCTGTGGACTGAAAGGTCCCAGGTTTGATTCCAGTAAAGGGCATGTACTTTGGTTGTGGGCACATCCCCAATAGGGGGTATGCAGGATCGATGTTTCTAACTCGCTCTCTCTCTCCCTTCCTCTCTGTAAAAAAATCAATAAAATATATATTTTTGTAAAAATCTCTGGTCCAGCCAGTGATTCCTCTAGGGTAGGGGTGTCGAACTCAATCAGAGAAGGGGCCAAAATCTAAAATCCAGCCTAAATCGCTGGCCAAATGGTTTACTGAACAGTCATAAACTGTCATTGTGATGGAAACGCAGCGGAGTGCAGTGATGACAGCGCGGTGCGGGCCACATTGCAAGGCCTGGCGGGACGGATTTGGCCCGCGGGCCTTGTGTTTGACACATGTGCTCTAGGGAGTTGGTGGGAATTCAGAAGGTGGAAACTTCTTTTTTTTAGCATGTAAATTCCAGTTTTGAAAAGAAAATCCAGTTAGAGTAACAAGCGGGTTTAATATTTACTAAATGTATATGGATAGCTTTATATAAATATAGTATATCCATCCCCTGTAGCAGTT